GGAGCTCACAGTGACCATGGTCAGCCCTCAGGATTCTAAAGGCCCTGCATCACTATCGCTAATCGTGCTCGTCACACAGCCGAATGTGCAGCTCCCGCTTCCAGTCGAGAAGACGCGCGGTGAGGTCTACACCACGCAGCAGCTCAACCAGATCAACGAGTTCCTTCGCGACAAGCTCTTGAAGGATTGGAAGACGTACGCGGCGCATTACTGGCACAACGGTGCCTGGTGGGTCCGATGCAGCGCACAGGTGTTCAATGAGGTGCGTCGATGACTTGTCCGGGGCCGAATCGTTGATGCTAAGGGTCTGTGATGATGACAGCTCTCCGACTTTGAATACCTCGGGAAGGCACTTAATGCTGTGTGCAAGGAGGTCGAAGAGACTATCCTCAAGAAGAACGCCTAGTGCATGAAGGCTGCTACTTGCTTGTTTGAAAGGATCGGGGGCAATCAATGATGCGGGCAATGGCAAGTGAACGGGCTGGTCAGGACAATGTATCCACGAATGTATTATACCTCGACGAGGGCGATAGGAGAATACCACCTAGATGCGTGGTCGCAACCCTACAAACGAGAGAGTCGTACCGCATGCCTAGAACACGAAAGATGAGGACACGCGAACATAGGGTACTGCATAGCCATGCCCGTTTCCGAACAGCAGCTGCAACATATGATACAGGAAGTACTACATCGAAGCCCACAGCAGGAGCAAGGCCCGGAAGAAAACGCCACCCAGATCCCGAACCCCACCACCCGAAGCGCTCCACTAGCTGGCGACGATCCTGAACGATTGCGCGGGCGAGAGCTTCGAGTCGAGCTTCGAGTTCAGCTTCGAGTCGTTCTCCGAGCCGGAAGGGCTCGAAGCTTGAGCTGGGGCTGCTAGGGCTGCTGGACGCGACGTGGGGCACTGGAGGCGGTACTTGGACGGCTTCAGGTATGCGTTCTCGCGGGCGGTCTGCTCCTCGAAGGTGACAGTCGTGTCGCGCTGGATAGAGACGACGAGCGGCTGCGATCCCGAGGTGGTCGCCTTGACACGCGAGGTATCTTGCTACATGACGCGAACGTGTAACGTCAGCGTCCAAATGCAACCCAGAGTCCAATCGTGGCCACGTACGCTGCGTCTGGACAAGCTGCCCGAGCGTGATGAGATGTGCGGGAGGGAGTTGTGCCCGTACTTCTCTGCAGCAGTCCGCAGGCCTTCGCGCGCGTTGAGCGTGGAGAGGAGGGAGATGCTGTACACTGCAATGTCGCGCGAGCGACGGGAGGGACATCCGCGCAAATATGACCAAGGATAGGTGGTAACCAGACTGTCAGAGCCCTGATCGGCAGCTAAGCGGGTTGAAACCTACTGCGGGAGCCGATGTAGTAGAACATGACATATACAGAGGTGTCGGGGAGAGCGAGGACCTGCGTAGGGCGCGTCAGCTCGTTTTCGGGCGTACAAGTACACAGAATCGTGGCGTACGGTAATGAGCGACAGAAGGGAGCAGATCCTGCACGTATGCTTAGTACATCTCGGTGATGGTAGGGTCAGCTGCCTTACGTGGTCAACAAGCCCGTGTTAATCGTGTATAACAGCTTCGCGAAATCGGTTAGCCGCCCTAGCAGCACAGTGGCGACGGCGGTGCTCGGCGACGTACCAGTTTATTGATCAAGCGATCAGACCTTTGGGGCATGTGAGTGCACAGGACGAGCGACAGATGGACTCGGCCTCACCCAGTGGATCCAGTCCGAGACCTGACGAGGAGAGTGACGAGCGTGCCGCATAGCAGAAGATCGGTTGCGGCAGTGACTGAACTCATGGCGATGTCGAACGCCTGGAGCGCCGTTCAGCGGTGTTCAAACAGACCCAGGGAGCAGGGGTAACGTACGGTAAGCTTGCTGAACTGCGAGATATCCGTGGTCTGGATACTGTTTGACCAACGCGTATGAGCCTAAGACTGAAAGAGCCCATGCAGCTTCCACGAACCTCTTCGCATATAGCACTACAACGGCGAAATCATCAGCGCTCCTGGTAACTAGATTGCGACTATGGGTGCTCACGACTTCCGAGAGCTGGCGATAGCGTGACAACTGGTCAGCCTGAGCGCGTGCCAAGGTAGAGATGCTGCACATACCAAGATCCGCTAAGACAAAGGTGCCCTGTACGTTCGTCAGCATGGAGACGACATGGGTTCTGACTTGGTGAACGCACCAACATGCCAGCGAGAATCTTGTGCTTGCTGACTGCGCTTGTGGTCATGTTTTCGGAGGCAGCAAATGAGATGCGAAGAGCACATACGTGTCCATATCCGGAACGTGTAGAACCTGTAGTGGAGTGGGTCAAGTCATGGCGCGGTAAAGCGACTTGGAGATGTCCTTACGACTGGATGATTGTAATGGAACATGCCTGGTGTAGCGAAGGTATCTAGCAGCCGCTCATAGGGAAGGCAGCAAACTCACGTTGATCATGATCTGGGACTGTTGCACCAAGTATTAGAACGACACCGACATGTGCACGAGCCAGCCTTACATTGGACGTCCTGCAAGCAAAGGGTCAATCGCCGCGCCATGCATGATGAATATGGGAGCTCACCATGGTAGAGGTTTGCCGCCAAACGAGAACAACTCCTTGCCCACAAGATACTGCCACACTTTTGGAAGGACGGATAAGGGACGGAGTTTCAGGCAAGGTTCATTGCTCACTTGACGCGAAATAGAAACCCAGGCTGAGCGCGTCTAAACACCAAATGACCCGGACCTGAGCACGCGAATGAGCTCCAGGCCGCAATGAAACACGAGAGGAACAAGTACTGACCATCACTCTCAAGAATGTCCGGTCCTGCGGATAATGCCTGAAGTACCACATCGCTTGTCCGCTGGTGACTGTGCACGTCAGCTTTCGTAACAACCGAAGCGGCCATCGAAGGTACCTCCGAATAAGCTTTCCAGCGTCACGGTCAGCAAACAGTGCGAGACGGATGCAGTAGGCCGTTGAACTCACCTGGCAGTGACGGCCATGCCTATCATAATCATCCCGATCCTGGACGGTCCGTCAGCGTCGCCGATGACATACCCAGCGCAACACGTACGTTTCATCGAGGAAGGAGCTGATGTCGGACATGCTGGCGAATGGACATGGGCAGCAGCACGTCGGGCTGCCAGTGTGCGCGGAAGCAAATGATGAGCGCGAGTGAAACACCAGGGCAGGAGCGGGACGACGAACCTTCGGGCATGTCTTAAAGCCTCTCGCGCGCCGTGCGCAGGGCTGCGGACTTCCGGAATGGAATGAGCCTGGGAGTGGGTCATACTTAATTAGATCCACGACCGTATCGGCTAATTTGTTACGGCCTCAACGCAAGGACTTCAGTCCACCAGAGTATGACAAGGTCCGGGTGCGCCTATACACTGCCTGGTCACATCAATCGTATAGCCTGAACCGTACGTACCTGTATGTACTCTCGACCTCCCGTCTGTCGACAGCGGAGGGTTTTTGCTGCCGCTGCGCCTGGGTGGCGACCTGTGGCGACGATGACACGCTGAGACCACAATCGCCACCAATTGATCGTTCCTTCCCATACTGCCCCGCCCGTACCCCGGGCAGCCGGGCGATACGGGCGACAATTGGTCGGGGAGTCGCGTTTCTGGGTCAGAGTCGGTCGCGTTCTCGCACTTCCCTTCCCACATACCGCACCCGCTGAATGCAGAACACAGCCCAGCAGTACGCCTGGTGCTGAAGCGAAGTCAGGAAGGGGAGGTGTTGCGAGTGACCGTGCGTGGCTGGCTGGCCCCATTGGGCATTGCGTATGTTGATTCGCGGGGGAAAGCTTCCGGGCAAGTGGTAATTGAATCGGGCGTGGAATCTTGGATGATTCCGGTGGGCGAAATCACCGAGTCCGGTTCCACCGGCACCAGGCCGCGAGCATGCCGATCCAGAGCTCACTCCTCAGTATGTACTACTATAGTATATGCGTGAACACTGACGATGGTGGCGCACCTTAGCACCCCGACGGAGCAAGCCAGGCTGCAACGTTTTAAATTGCCCGGTAAGTAGCCCGGAACTTGTTGTACTCGATAGTAGAAGGAGTTGTGAACCACTGCTGGCTAGGAGGTCAAAAATCTGTCGACTATAAGCTACTATAAGTACACGAGAACGGATGAACGCACTCAATCAGACACGGGCCGGAGGGACAGGACTGGATGACCGGGTCTGGACCGCAGACAGGCCTTTCGCGGGAGCCATTTGAAGGTTCTGCCACATGATTACAACAGGAGTGCGCCTTAAGGTAGCCTTGGATACGAAGGACAAAATCATTGAAATGTGCCAGGAGCGTACCTTGCACGTTCCCCGCCGGCCTCTTTTCTTCCATAGGCCGGTGGTCCCTCTGCCATCCGCAGGACAAGACCGCGATACTTACATGCCATGAGCTACAGGCAAGAAGATGAAACCAGTGAAAGACCCTGCCTATTCAGCAGAGGATAAGGTCGTAAGTAAGGCAAACTGAGAGTGACATGCTGAAGCGCTGACGCCTCACCTTGGTTCGAGCTGCCTATGCACATACAAGCGGCGATCATTCCTTGCCGCTGGACTCTCCGAGGTCGCGTCCTGTCAGTGTGAGCAACACGGAGGGCAGCTCAGGTGAGGTCCGAGGACGTGAACTTCCGCACAAGGAAGCACGTCAGCCAGCAACGACGAGAGGCTCCCTACAGGTTGAGCGGACATGTGAGAAGCAGTCGCCTCGACTCAACATGCACCGAATGGTTTCGTCAGGGAGAGGACCTGAAAGGACAACTGAATGCCCAATTGCGTTGTATGCAAGATCCGCGTTAGGTGCCCTCGAGTCGTCGATCTTGATTCTTGCACGGTTGCACCTTGCGGAACCCTGCGGTTGTCATTGCACACACGCTGTGGGATCGAAGCAGATGCCGCACGGACGGTCAGTACGTCTGGTTCAAACCCGAAAGCGATCACAGGCGAGAGGAGAGGCAACCATAGGGTGGCGATCATTGCCTAAAAAGAAAACTTTGACCTGGGTTCGAACCAGGAGGTGCAGCCATTACAGCGCACACTCTGCCAACTGAGCTATCGAAGACGTCTGTGTTTGACGTTCACCAAGTTAGCGAGGGAAATGCACGGGCTTCGGCAGTCTCCGGGAAGGTTCCATTGGACGATCGACGCGTCCGTGTATCGTACTCCACTGTACCGACCGAGGATGGCAAGCAGACTGTGTGTGCAGGAGGAACGTCGCAACAACGCCGTCGTCTGCTCCCGTCGCCGACCCATTAATCACGAAGACCAGGATCTGCACGGGCGCAAAGCTACGTGATATGGTACGAGAGTGATTTTCGCGGTTAGCAGCCGAGGCAAGGTCGCGGTGACCCCACTCAGTCGGCATGGCGCGCGCATCTCCCCAAAACCCCACCCATGACCGTCCCAGGTTCCCACAACGCTCCCGTCTAAATACCCCTCGCACCTCTCACCGCAACCGCAACCATCCCCACCGTCGATTCAACTCGCACGTCCATCACCATGTCCTCCGTCCTCCGCAACCTCTCCAAGCACTCCCGCTCCCTCTCCGCCGCGTCCCGCAGCCCTCTCATCAGCGCACCAGCCCCCCGCGCGGCGCGTGCATTCCACTCGCCCTTCGCCGTCCTCGCGTCCTCCGAGTCCCCGCTGACCCGCGCACCCTCGCCCACGTCCACCGCCCGCGGCCTCTACGAGAAGAACATCGAGCACCCCTCCGAGCCCTTCACCTCCGGCGCCGGCCACCGCACCTACGTCGTGTCCTCCCCGGACCCCGCCAACACCCCATACGAGGTCCCCTCCGGCGCATACCCCACCTCCGCCCCGTACGAGAACTACACCCGCACAGAGGCCCCCGTCCCCCCGAACGCGCAGTACGCGTCGACCGCCCCCGGCCTCGCGCACCCCATCACCGGCAGGGTCCCGCGCAACGACGCGGGCGTCGGCGAGAGCGCCGCGATCCGCTACCGGGAGGCCCCCGGGGAGATGCACGCCCGCGGGGGGAGCTACGGCGGCCAGGGCGTCGTGGACGCTGCGGGCACCCGTCAGGGCCCGAACGGCGAGCTCCCCGACGTGAACGCCTCCCCCCTCCACGAGAACGCGCCCCGGTTCTCGCAAGGCGGCGTCGACAACGCCTGGAAGGAGCGGAAGTGAGGGGTTCTTCCCACCATTCCCCATTCCGACGAGCCGCGACGCTTCGACTACGGGCAGAAGAAGGGTTGACGAGAAAAGGACGTTCATAATCGCAAGTTGCTGTCGCAATCTGTTCGCACTGTGTCTGTGTATAGTAGTATGTACCAAAGGGGTGCTGTATGAGTACGACGTTGTCATGACCATACGACCGCATATATGCTCTTGTCACTGCAGATAATCATAGAATGTACATATCTTGCTGTCCTCCACGCTTCCCGCTCTACCAACTTCCATCCGCAGTGTCCGCAGTGCCTTGGACGTGGCGAGACGCGTCCTGGAGCTCGTCTAGGAGCGCGTCGGCTGTAGAGTGCTAGTAGTAACGTCACCACTAACTCCGCCGGCCCGCTGAGACCTGCGGGCCGGTCAGCCCGCACGCATATACTTACCGCTACGATGGCCCTGAGGACATGAAGTGAATTCATAGACGATGTTGCGGGCGCGGACAGTCAAATTAGACTCAAAATGAGGACCATATAGGGCTTGCAGCACGACCGACAAGCGTCACGACCCGCTGGCCCATCTGGCGGATATGCTTCCGGGGACGGAGGCCTGCGACGGATCGTGAGCACGCACGAGTAGAGATGTTACGGGGAGGAAGGAAACATACGTCTCAGTTTGGGCGGGGGCTCGAGGGACACTGCCGCGGGGTCGCTCTCGGGCTCGGCCGTAGAGATTGGGAGAGGATGAGATGGCGCAATTGAGGACGGCCGAGCGGCGGCGCGCTTCCGAGCTTCCTTCACGATCCTATGTACGAAGCAAGACACGTCAGGAACGTGCCAGTCTCCGTCCGGGTCAGGAGGAGCTCGACCTACTTGACAAGCTCATGGCGCTCGCGGTAGAACTCGAGCGGGCTGGGTATGCTGTCCTGCGTCAGGTGCGCAGCCAGGTCGTACCACAGGTCGACGATGGGGAGGAGGTCCGCGTCCGTGGCCTTTTCGCGCAGGGCCCCCAGAGCGGTGGTGGACTTGAGCACGTCCAACGAGTCGGCGAGGCTGTCCACGCTCGTGTTCGCGGTGGACGGCGACCCGGTAGTTGCGTCGCTGGCCGACGACGCCGTCGGGGTAGAGGGTGAGGTGTCGCCACTGCCGCTGCCGCTACTGGTAGCTGTGGCAGCGAGACCGGGAGGCGCGACGAACACAGAAGGATGCGAAGGTGGCGGGCGGCCCAAGTCCGGGCTGCACCCGGGTTTCGTCGTGTAGTTCGACCACGGTGTCGCAATTCCGGTCTCAGGGTCAACACAGTCGGGGCCGGGCGTCCACCCGACGTACGGCTTGCGCACTCCAGAGATCTTCTCGTCGTCGCTGAGCGCGCCTCTCCTGTTCTCTGGGAGCACCGTCTCGTCCTCATTCCACCCCTCTGGCGCGGCGCGCACGCGCACGGTGAGCGCGGTGGAGTCCCAGTGGTAGCAGTTCGCGAAGGGGAACGGGGGCTCCGTGTGGATGATGGGCGCGCGGCCGTCGGGATGGTTGTCGTTCGGCGCAATGGGCAAGCACATCCCGGGCTCGATGTCGCGGGCAGGGTCGGCGGGGCGGAGGGAGGCCGCGACCGGCATCACTGAGTAGCAGAACCACGGATTGGAGGGGTGAGGGAGGGTCACGTCCTGCAAGAGGGCGCGCATCAGAGAGCCAGCGGGAGGCAACAGGAGATGGAGACGCACCATTTTGATGTAGACCAGGTAGGTCTTGGGCTGTATGGCCCGCGCTGCTTGGAGGGCCTCGTCATCTGCGCCTTGTACGCCGCTGACGGTAGCAAGGGGATCCATTCGCAGGGCGGCATACCTGCCCTGGGAGGGGTAGTAGCTAATTCGCGGATCAGCAACACGAGCTCCAGGGGCAGGAGCCGACGGAGAAGAAGAAGGAGCAGGAGCAAGAGCAGGCGAAGAACGAGGAGCAGGAGCTTGAGCAGGAGGTCTGAACGGGACGAAGTTCATTATTCGTTGCAGACGAGTGCTGGCCCTGCTGGGGCTCGATGGGCGGATCTGTTGCGCATATACATGCCTGCGCAAGGGCCGTATAACCCAGTGCAGAACAATGCATCGATCGTCTTGCTAGCTCTGCCATCACCACCGTCCCGCTGTCGCGTACGGGTGGTATTGTAGTTTCTCTGCCGAGGGTGCGTGTTATTGTCACTCCCTTCGTGTGCACACTGCAACGCGCCAGATTGCAGATCTATGTCTTATCTGCACCTGGGTATAGATTCATCAGACACTTCGACGAACAGCTACAGAGAACTTACAGACACACATGACGATGGGGGTTGAGAACAACAAGAGAGACGCCTCCGCCCTCACCGACCCGGACTAGCACTTGCGCTTGACACTGAGATCTGCCTTCGCACACAATCAGTCCGCGCAACCAGTGTCTATTGGCAACTGACTAGTGAACATGCAGGTATTGCATGAAGCTCGAAAATAAGTGAAACCCAGACGACAACGAAGCGAGCGGAAACAGAGAGGGAGACAAGACCGAGGAGGCAGGGATATGGATAGAGATAGACTATAGACCCGAGCGTTCTACGCCAGCAGCTGGTATGCATATACTAACAAAGGACACGGACGAGCCTCCGACATCGGTCGATGGGCAGCAGGTGGTCCGCAGCACCGGCCGACACGAGTGAAGGAGAACGTGTGCGTGGGCACCGCGGTGGGCGAAGGGTGATAGGGGAGGCGAGGAGAGGAGAGGAAACTATGGGAAACGAGCGGCGGTGTCCTTTGGGCCGGAACCAGAGCGTGACGGGGAAGCGCAAGGCGGTATACGTATATTCAAGATCGAAGCTTGAACCTCCGAAGGCCGAGATGAGAGACTTCCGAAAATGCGATATTACGACGGGGCGCCAACCCGGGATAGCAATAGCGGATATACACAAGGCGAATGGAACGGGTATGCAGGCAGTGTCCGTGATGCTGGCAGGTGTATACGGGCGTCGCGGGTCATGAAGCGGCCGTGAGGAAGCGGATAGCGAGACAACTCTCAGAGCAGTTCGATGCTGAATAGAGGGTGCGGTAAGTTAGGTCGTTCATCGAGTCGTCAGAGCCGTCATAGGAGGATATGCTTGCAAATCTGCGGGCAACACGGTGGAAGGTTTGAATGAGCTTGAACATACAGAGATATGGAGCGACCCACAAGATGATTCGCGCAGCCTGTGCGCGCCGAGGCAATAAAGATCCTTACGCCCGACAGCAGAATGCAGCCCAGAATCCCTTCTTCCGTCCCAGACCGTGCTCGTCCTGCTCTCCGACACGCTCCATCTGCTCCCTGTCGTACACCATTCCGCGTGCCTGGCCGTTCGTGCCCTCCTGCCGTGTACCCGCTGTCGTCGTGCCCTCCCGGCTTGCAGTGCCATTCTTGGCCACGCCTTGACCGTACATGAACGAATCTGAGTTGTTGGGCTGCTGAAGAAGACCTGAACCGTTCGCACCTGGGGTACCATTGGGAGGAACGGGTGACTGACGGCCATACGCGTTCGTGCGATAGCCGCCCGAGCTCCCTGGCGCAGCGTAAGGGTGAGGAGGAGCTACAAGCCCGCTGTCGCGCTCTGCACGCGCTACCTGCTGTTGACTCTGTCGCCTGCTCTGCGGCGCAAGCGGCTGCACACTGACATGTTCGCGCGAACCGCCACGCGACGCATCGTGAGGCCGGCGAGTGCTGCCCTTGACATGAGCAGGTGTTGGTGCCAACACCAGTGGTGACGACGGCGATGTACCCTCCTGGAGAGCATTGCGGGATGACCTGTGTGGGCGGTCCCGGTCACGGCGGTGCTCCCGATGCGGCGTAGGAGTACCGCCATGGGCGGATGCGAGCAGGGCGGAAGTCTAAAGAGGTAGTCAGCACGGGCAGCAGCGTTCAACGCATGTCACGACGTACGTGGCTAGCTTCC